CAACTTTTATGGGTTTCAAACTTCTATCAAACTACTTTTAGCTGCTTCAAACTTCCATCAAACTACTTTAACGACTTTAAAAGGGTTCAAACCTCCATCGAACAATTTGTATGAGTTTCAAACTTCCATCATACTATTCTAATGGGTTTCAAACTTCTGCCAAATTACCGTTTCTAATATCAGACTTGCATCAAACTCCTTTGATGAGTGTCACACTTCTTCAATGGCTAACAAAATTCCTTCAAACTATTTTTACTATCTAAAAGTAAGTAAAAATGTTATTTGCAGAATTTGCCTTTCAATGTCAGACTTCCGATCTCCTTCTCTTCCTCTCTAAAATGCCAACAATTCCGAAAATGTTGCCTTAGCCAACGGCGCGTGTAAACTTGGCAATCACAACAATGTTTTTGATTCTCCTCCTCCTTCTTCTCTAGGTCTATCCTTTGGTATTCTTTCCTTGTTGCCTGATATTTTGTTGTGTTGACATGGAATTGTTGGCACAAATAAGTGAGGCTAAGCACCACGAATGTCGCCAGGCATCATCTGTCGCTTTTGCAACACTTTAACTGGTTTCCGCCAAGGAAAAAGGAACTCCAATTTAAAAATAAAGGAACGATGAGTATCAAGACCTTGTAGCAAGTGGCAGGGAATAATGAGACCTTTAGTTCTGATTGGAGTTTCGCCAAAGTCAGGGGATGAGAAAGGCCCAGCATTTATGCGTGTCTGCCGTGTTGGCTTTTGCAATTATTGTGTTCTCAACCAACTGCAGTGGCAATTGTCGTCTGTCAAACCTAGAATTGCGGATGCTCTCCTTCTCTCTCTCTCTTCCTCTCATCCCGCTTGCGAAGGAAGTGCATGTGCCCATCTCTGATTTTTATCATTTAACAATTGTAAAAATTTTAATTAAATTAAAGATTTTTAGCATTTCATTCTTTTGTCGTGGCATTCTTGGATGTTGGATGTTGCAGTTGGATCGCTGCCTCGGCTAGTTTTCCATTCATGCACTGGGGGGGCAAGATAATGAGCCAGTTGTGCAGTTCAACGACCATGGCCATGCTGTGAGTCTTCTTAACTCGTAACGAAAATCTGTCTTTTGTCTGTGTCTCGCTTTTTTTTTTGTTTGCAAACAAGTTAAGCAAAGACTAGATCTCGTGATGAGATTGCTGGCTGGTAGTGGTTTCAGGACAAAAGGAAACAAAAAGCCCAAGTCATGATACTCCAGTTGTTCATGAATATTTTGTTTTGTTTTTTCTACAGAGAACTGATTTAGATTTTTTTCTTTCGGTTCCTCCGCTGCTTTTGGAAAATGAGTTTCATTTTATTCCTTAACATCTTTTCCAATTTTCTTAATTAGTTGCCGTATAATTTTCCCCAGCTCTGCTCATCTTGCTTATCTCCCCCCTTGCCCTGTGGCTTAGCCTTGATTAGAGAACTTGTCTGGCAATCAAATACCATTGGCCTTATAATGCCTGGCAATGGTCAATTTCTGTCTTCCAACTCTCATACCTTGACCATATTGGGAGTCTCAGGTCTTTATCCCCCTCCTGCTTCTTTCTGCTCATTACTGAAATCCCCTGGCAGATAGAGTCAAGCCAACCACCACCTCCTTGGTTTTTGTCAAGTCATTCTAATATCATCTCTACAACGGATTTTATTTTCATTGTTTTTCTTCGGATTCATTATCTGGCCGTCCATCAAGTCTTGTTGAAAGAGTTTTCCTTTTTCATTGTAGCAGAACAATAAAGAAGATCATTGTCATCATGGCCACAAAAAGTTGTTAGGAAAACAGCCTGCATGACTTGACAAAACTGAACTCTTTTTTTTCTTTTCTCTAATGTTCGCAATCAAACAGTTAGATAAAGCTTTGCGTTAGCCATCAGTGGGTCAAATTATGATTATGAAGGTAGTCTTCTGCGAAGTGGGTTGCAACTTTGTAATGGATATAATTAAGATCTTTAATAGAAAAAAAGAAGGCGGGGAAAATGCTTCTAAACGGCCATTATATGAAGCGCTTCTAATGTATTATCAGCAATTGTGAGAAGGCTGGGAATTCGAACCTCAATCACGTAAAATGTTGGCTTTACATTGCCAAAGATTCCAGAGAGTTTTATTTCCAAATTGCGGGTTAACAAATGTCCCTACATTGAACAGTTAAGGTATCGGATAGAGCTTCAACATATATAACCTTGGAAGCTAAAGACTTTGAGGAAGTCTGAATTGCAAGACTTTGAAGCTCCACTTTCTCCCTTCCCCAGCCACTCATTCGTACTTCGCCAAAAGCCAATTTTTTTCTTGCCAGGCTTCAAAGCTATCTCATTCGAGAATCAAACGCTTTTCAACTTATTACCCAACCTCACACCAACTACCAACAAACTTTTGGTAAATGCCTCTAAGACTCCTCACTTCTAATTTAGACTATTTTTGGCACCTTTCACAATCAACTCATACTCCAATGATGAGAGGAATTCCTCCAAGATATTCTATGTAAAATTATTTCCTAATCTTTCCCTTGGTCTTCATTGTCAACTATCAGTTTACCTTCAACTTCTACTTTCCTCCACCAGACGAGTGCCAAACTACTGCCGAATGTTCAATTTCTTTGAAGTGGCTTAGGCCACCGTTAGAAATGTATCAAAATAATTTAAACATCTGGCAGATGTGTCGAACAACTTTGGTAAACATTAAACCACCTTCAAACTAGTTTGATAGACATCAAACTATTTTCAAAGTGTCTTAATAGGCATCAAACTACCTTCAACTTACTTTGGGATACATCAAACCACCTTCAAACTAAATTAGACAGGCATCAAACTATCTTCAAACTGCCTTAATAGACATCAAACAACCTTCAAACATCTCTGACATGCCTCAAACTGCCTTCAAACAACCCTTTCAAGCATCAAACCTCTTGGTATAGATGAAACCACATTCAAACTAGTTTGACAGGGACCAAACTACCTTCCAACTATTTTACTAGGTATCAAACTACGTTGAAATTATTTTGGGATTAATCAAACCACCTTCAAACTACGATTGACAGGCATTTAAGTACCTTCTAACTATTCTTTCATATTTCAATCCACTTTCAAACTACTTTGGTATTCATGAAACCACCTTCAAACTAGTTTGACAGCGTTCAAACTGTCTTAATAGGCATCAAACTATCTTCAAATTTCTTTGCGGTACATCAAACCACCTTCAAACCACCCTCAAACTACATAAAACTACCGTCAAACTGCCTTTATTGGTATCAAACTATATTCATACATCTCTGACATGCATCAAACTACCTTGAAACAACCCTTTCAATCATCAAACCTCTTGGTTATGAGTAAAACTACCTACAAGCTTTTTCTGTCAAGCATGAAATCATTTTAAAATTACTTTGGTATACATGAAATCACCATCAAACTAGTTTGACAGGCATTAAACTACCTTCAAACTGCCTTAATTGGTATTAAACTACATTGAAATATTTCTGACAAAACTACCTTGAAACAACCCTTTCAAGCATCAAACTTCTTGGTTATGAGTCAAGCTACCTTTAAACTTTTTAGTCAATCATTAAAACACTTTCGAACTTCTTTGTTGTACATGAAACCATCTTCACAATCATCAGATTACCTTGAAACTACTTTGATAGGTGTCAAATTACTTACACAATCATAAAACCACTTTCAACCTTCAAAGCTCTTTCACAATCATCAGACTGCTTTGATGGGTGTCAAACTACCTTCAAGCTAGTTTCATTATCATCAAATTACCTTCAAACTGCTTTGATGGGTGTCAAACTAGTTTCACAATCTCCACACTACCATCAAACTGCTTTGATAGGTGTTAAAGTACCTTCAAACTATTTTCAAAATCATCAAACCACCTTCAAACTTCTTTCACAATCATCAAACTATTTTGATAGGTATCAAACTACCTTCAAACTATTTTCACAATCATCAAAGTACTTCGATATGTGTCAAACTACCTTCAAACTTCTTTAACAATCACCAAACTATCTTTGAATTGCTTTGATAGGTTTCAAACTATGTTCAAACTACTCTCATAATCATCAAACCACTATCAAACTACCTTTACAATCATCGAACTACCTTCCAACTGCTTTGATACGTGTCAAACTACCTTCAGACTACTTTAACATTCTTCGACCTACCTTCAAACTACTTTCACAACCATCAAGGCATCTTCAAACTATTTCACAATCATCCAAATGATTTTATAGGTGTCAATCTACCTTTAAACTACTTTCACAATAATCAAATTGCTCTGAGAGGTGTCAAACTACTTTCAAAATCATCAAACCACCTTCAAACTTCTTTCACAATCATCAAATTACCCCCAAACTGCTTTGATGGGTGTCAAACTACCTTCAAACTAGTTTCCGAATCATCAAATTACCTTCAAACTACTTTGATAGGTGTCAAACTTACTTTGAACTGCTTGCCCTGTGTTAAATTACCTTTGAACTTCTTTAGGACGGTTAAACTACTTTTTCAAAATACTTTGGCATGAACTCAACTAACTTCAAACAACTTCGGTTGCCTCGGACTCCCGACAATTGCCTTCAAACTTCTTTAGCGGCTTTAGACTGCTTTCAAACTATTTAGCATATATCAAATTGTCTTCAACTCATATTGATAAGCCTCAAACTACATGGCTACGTATCGAACTTCCTTCAAACTATTGGAAACACTTGAAATCAATCTAACTTCATTCGAACAACTTGCTTCATCAAACTTCCTTTCAACTACTCTCTAATGTATCGGACTGCCTTCAAACAACTTTGCAATGTTTCAGACTGCCTTGTTAATAAACTTTATGTTATTCAGACATCTTTAGCAGGCATCAGTCTACCTTCTTACTACCTTAGAATATTTCAAACTGCCTTTAAACTGAATAGACATACCTCGAACTATATGTCAACGTATCAAACTTTCTTCAAACTACTTGGGTGTATATATTGCTATCTTTCAACTAAATTAAAATCAGTTTGTTGGGAATAGACCCAACCCCATAGACGATGATATCGATATGGACCTTATCGATCTCGATAATTAAAACTATCGATGAGGTTACATCGTCAAGGAGTTTTGGTTGGCACTCTTCTTCTTGAAGTTTAGAAAAGTGGATCGCCAGATCAAGATTGTGAATTTTTTATAAATAAAAAGTTGACCGACAGAGTCATTTTAACTTTGAAATAATAATTATTAAAGTGCTTTTTCTTTTGTGCAGACAACAAACGTAAGTATCGCCAGAATACTTTTGTGTTTGTTTGTAGTTCGCTAAACAATATTGTTGTTCGTCTTTGTGCAACAATAAATTCCGGCTCAAAATCTACTCAGTAGAATTTGAACCACAACAAGTCCATACGACGGTATTGGAACTTGTACATGGTCCTTCGAGTCCAAAAAATAAAGAATCGGCTTATTTGCCAAAAATATTTTCCAAAAAAAGCACTAATTTTAATTTAAAATTAATTTGAAAGTAGTAAGAAGTGTTGTTGTGTTTTCATCTGTGTTCGAATGTGGCGGCTTTTGTGTTGTTTGTCGTAGACACACATACATTCAACAAATCAACACTGCCATTTCCAAAAGAAATCGTTTGTGTGAAGTTAGAAAAAAAGAGATATTTGTTTGTATTCATTGTTTATTAACACTGTCGAAAACACATACACTAACACCATTATAAAACACCACAATCACTTTCATTTTCTCCATCATTTTTTTGGCATTTATTTCATTTTGTTTTGTGTTACATTTGTCGCATTCGTCATTTGTGCCATTTGTAATAAACAATCTTTTGACATATGTTTATTGTGCCAGATCGATCCGTCTGTTGTGCTTACCATATCGACTATCGATCAGCTGCTGGGTCAGAAAAGTTGTGCAATTACTCGCTAACGTAACGCAAGTTTCTGACGTAACGTATAAAACTTTGCATAAATTATTGAATCAATAAAATATAATAATACACATAAATAATTTTGAATAAAAATAAATAATAAGATAATAAAAGTTAAAATAATAATAATAATAATTAAATAAACAAATCATAAAATCAAAAAAAATCATTTTTTCAATAAGTTTAAAAACAAATTAAACTTTGCTGAGAAAAATAATATTATACGGCAAATCAAAAACATTTACGGAAATAATTTCATTTTATTTATTAAAAATAAATAAAGTGATAATTATAATTTGTTTGTATAATAAATAATAATAATAAAAAAAATAATAATAAAAAAAAAAAGTAAATAAAATATAATAAATAACAATAAATAAACCTCATATAAATATACATAAAAAATAAATAGAAAAACAAATGGATTCAACAATTTGTGCTAAATTTGAATACGAAACCGACAGCCTTATGAATATGTGCATTCAATTGGAGAATACTCCCGAGGAACTATTTTCGGATTCTTTAATAGAAACCAAACTAGAATCCATTGATGAAGATTGGCACAATGCACGCAGTGCATTTGAATGTGTATATTTAGCAGAAATAGAGGAAGAAGAAGAAAAGGCTTATAAATTAGAAGCCAGAAAAATATTTGAGTCCCTCAGGGACAAATATCAAACTACAAAAGCTAAATTATTAGAGATTTTGAAGAAAAGAAAACAAAATCAAAATAATACCGCTAGAGGCGATGTTACAAATCCGTCACTGTTTCACAGCTCAGCTGTGTATCCTCCGGGTACAACCTTTGACATGTCGGAAATTTGTATTAAAGTGCCACCTTGTGACACTCAAGACTTCTACGGAAGTTATGAACAGTGGCCAACTTTTAGAGACATGTTTACAGCCATATATGGAAATCATCCCAGACTCACACCTGCGCAAAAACTCTATCATTTGCGTAACAAAACAAAGGGTGAGGCTGGTAGAATTGTTGATCGGTACCCGTTATCTGATCAGAATTTTTCGTTGGCATGGGAAGCATTATCAGTGCGATACGAAAATGTGAGGGTACTGGTAGATAATCAATTAAAGATTTTATTCAATCTTTCGGCAGCAAAGACTGAATCTAGCAGAGATATAAAAAGAATTCAATCAACAGTTAGCGACTGTCTAGCTATATTAAAAGCACATAAGGTGCAAGTAGATCAATGGGATCCTATTTTGATATATTTGTGTTCAACTAAGCTTCCGGTTGAAACTCTGACTCTTTGGGAACAATCGCTCGAATCACATTCAGAGCTACCCAAATGGTCACAAATGGACGATTTTCTAAAAAACAGACATAGAGTCCTAGAGAGAATAGACAGTCTAAGAAATATAGCAGCTTCAACTGCCTTTAATGATGAATTTCAAGCGCATCAAAATGCGCAATCGACACAATCGAATAGATGTATCATGTGTAATAGAAATCATATTTTAAAGAATTGTTCAAGATTTAATAGTATGAGTGTAAATCAGAGAATTGAATTTGCAAGAGAAAAAAGATTGTGTAACAATTGTCTTATTTATGGACACATTTCTCAGGAATGCGTTAGTGTGCATAGGTGTATGTTTTGCAAAAAGAAACACCACACTAAACTGCATTTACCAAATAACGTTCAAGAGAGATCTACACAGCCAAGATTGGTAGCAAGAGAAAGTCAAAACACTTATCGTTCTGAAAATGGACGCCAAACAAATGCTCTAGTTACCACAGAGAATATTGTAGAAGAAATGCCATGTTCGTCCAATTCTGTAGCTCAACTTCTAATGTGGAAACACATGTGTCAGTAAGTCATGATGACGTTATGCTGCCTACAGCTCTAGTAAAAGTAAAATATTCTGGGGAAATATTTACGGTTAGAGCTCTCATTGACTCAGCTTCGAAACGAACATTCGTTACTCAAAAAATAATTAAACGAATTGGCATATTAACTGAAAAAGCTAGTTTCAAGATTAGTGGACTGAGTGGAACAGTCGTGGCTAATTCAAATAAAAAATGTGTTCTGACGTTGTGTTCAGAAATAAATGAAACTGAATTTGAAGCAGAAGCATTAGTTGTGCAAAATTTGACAAGTTTATTGCCGACGCAGACTATTAAAATTTCAGATTTGGGAAGTATTAAGGATTTGAAGTTAGCAGATCCAGGATTTATGATTTCTGCTCAAATTGATATGCTTATAGGTAGCGATGTTATCCCATATATAATCCTAGAGGGAGTTAGAAAGAACATATTGGGCAATATGATAGCTCAAAATTCGATATACGGTTGGTATATCTATGGGCCAATATCAGCCAATGAAATTTGTTTAGCGTCTATAGAAATAAAAAATAATTCTGAAGATGACGTTAGTCAATTATTGAGAAAGTTTTGGGAACAAGAAGAAATAAGTGAAGTGCCCATTTCCACGAAATCAGACGAATATTGCGAGAAATTTTACACCAACACGACATACCGTCGATCAGATGGAAGATTCGTTGTAAAATTACCTTTCAAAGAAGAATTTCCTCAAAAAATGTACCTAGATTCGTCCAGATTCAAAGCAAAGAAACAATATGAACATATGGAAGTAAAGTTAAGCAAGAATGTAGACCTTGAGGAGTCATATAATGAAGTATTAAATGAATATTTGTCATTGGGTCATATGAAACCCACAGAATCAAGAGAAATATGTACTGGTGGGAAATATTTTTCATATTATTTACCGCATCATGCAGTCTTTCGCCCAGAAAGTTCTAGTACTAAAGTGAGAGTGGTGTTTAATGGATCGAGTAAGACAAAAAGCTCTTATTCTTTAAACGATATTTTACATACAGGGCCAATATTACAAAATGATTTAGTGTCTGTAATTTTGAATTGGCGCCTGTATAAGTATGTGTTTAACGGTGACATTGAGAAAATGTACCGACAGATATGTGTTCATGATTCTGATCGGCAATACCAGAGAATTTTATTTAGAAAAGAAGGTCAGAGTGATATTAAAGATTATGAATTGTGTACTATTACCTTTGGTATAAACTGTGCACCTTATTTGGCGATTCGCACATTGTTGCAATTGGCGGAAGAGTCAAAAGATAAATACCCAATTGCATCGAAAATAATTAAAAATGAGATATATGTTGATGATGTATTGACTGGAGGTCATACTCTTGCCTCAGCTTTGGAGGCGGAAAAACAATTAATTTGTGTTTTGAATTCGGCTGGATTTCCGTTAAAGAAGATAACGGCAAATCATCCGACCCTTCTTTCTAATGTCCGATCAGAAGATTTGTTAAATGAAGAATTTTTAAGAATTATAGATATGAGTTCAACAAAGACATTAGGTATTCGTTGGAATGCCTTAACTGACTCATTTTCTTATAATATGAAGTCACTAGAGGTGACTACCCCGATAACTAAAAGGAAAATCTTGTCAACCATTTCGAAATTATTTGACCCAGCAGGGTGGTTAACGCCTTTATTATACAGGCAAAAATTTTGTTGCAAGACCTTTGGTTAGAAGGTGTTAATTGGGATGAAAGAGTAAGTTCATCCACGTATACTAAATGGAAAACATTTTTGGATCAATTTTCATGTGTTGATTCTATTCAAATACCAAGATGGATTAATTATTGCCTAGAGGGCAATATACAATTTCATGGATTTTGTGACGCTTCTGAGAAAGCGTATTGTGCCGCAGTATACGTTCGAATGGACACAGAATCAAAGTCATCAGTAAACTTATTAATAGCGAAAAGTAAAGTTGCTCCATTAAAAAGAGTAAGCTTGCCAAGATTAGAGCTTTGTGGTGCCGTATTGCTCTCATCTTTAATGAAGTATGTTGTCTCCAAATTAGATGTGAAAAATTATTCTGTCCATATGTGGACAGATTCAACAATTGTATTGGCATGGTTGCAAAAACATCCATCCACATGGAATACTTATGTTGCAAATAGAACCGCAACTATATTCAAAAATGTCGAAAATGCAACTTGGAGACATGTTTCTTCGAAATGTAATCCTGCAGACCTTGGAACAAGAGGTTGTAATTCTGTAGAATTAAGTAAATGTTCGCTATGGTGGAATGGCCCAATGTGGTTATTAAGTCCTGGTAATAATTGGCCAGAATCTAATATGGTATCGAAAGATCCGCCAGAAAAGCGAAATATTGAAGTACATTGTGCACCAATTATAGAGAAAGATGATTATAAAGAAATGATTCAAAAATTTCTTCTTATAACAGAACATTGTGGATTATAGGATATATGTATCGTATGAAGAATAAGCGAAGAAAAAATGAATATTCAGATGGAGGAAGTGGAAAACTTCTATCTCAAGATGAGTTGAATCACGCTAAGATGGTTCTAGCCCGAATGGCGCAAAGGGTTCATTATCCCCAAGAATATAATGATTTAATTAATTCGAAAATTATATCACGAAAAAGTCCGTTACGTGCTTTGAATCCATTTTTGGATGAGAATGGGGTAATGAGAGTTAATGGACGTCTAGCTAATGCAAATGTATCTAATGACGAACGATTTCCAGTAATAATGCCAAGTTCGTCTCATTTATGTATATATTCTTGGAATTTATCCACAAAACATTAATGCATGCTGATGTAAGACTTATGATGTCCATGGTTCAACGGCAATTTTACATCCCTAGACTAAGAAGAACCGTTAAAAAAGTAGTACATAATTGTGTAATTTGTGCAAGATACAAACAGAATGTTAAATCACAGATAATGGCTGCATTGCCTTTAGAGAGAACTTCTTTTTCACTTCCCTTTACCTATGTTGGAACAGACTTTGCAGGTCCGTTTCAAATTAAAAGTGGCAATTTGAGAAATTCACCGTATCAAAAGTCGTATGTATGTATATTTGTGTGTTTTTCGACAAAAGCCATACATCTTGAAGCGTGTTCGTCACTATCCACAGAAGCGTTTCTTGCAACATTTACGCGATTCATAGGTAGAAGAGGTTTGCCTAGATGTTTAATGTCAGATAATGGAACCAATTTTGTGGGTGCCAGTCGTACTCTCTCGAGGGAATATCATGAATTTATAAAAAAATCCTCCAAAGAAATTTCAGAGAAGTATATTGTTAATGGCTTCGAGTGGAAGTTTATTCCACCTAGCGCTCCACACATGGGCGGATTATGGGAAGCAGGAGTTAAAAGTTTTAAGACACATTTCAAAAAGATAATGTCTGAAAGAAAGTTCAATTTTGAGGAATTTGCCACTGTTTTAGTGAGAATAGAGAGTGTATTAAACTCTAGGCCTTTAACACCATTGTCAGAGGATCCGGAAGATTTAGAGGCTTTAACTCCAGCACACTTTCTAAGAGGTGGACCATTATTATTCGCTCCGGAAATGCCTATTGACGATTTATCGTTAATAAATCGTTGGGAAAAAATAAAAGCCCTACATCATACCTTTGCTAAGAGATGGAAAACAGAATATATCCAGGAACTCCATAAGAGATACAAATGGCAATATCCTAAACGAAATATTCAAGAGAATGACTTGGTACTAGTAAAAGATGAACTGCTACCTCCGAATGACTGGAAAATGGGACGTGTGGTAAAAGTGCATGAAGGGCACGATCAACACGTAAGAGTAGTTGATGTAAAAACTACAGCAGGTATCATATCTCGTCCTATTGTGAAGTTATGTGTACTCCCAGTCAGTGGTTGTCAGTAGAATGTAATATATGTGTATGCGTGCCCCAATCATGGTCAAATATCTAACAGACAATGCCTTTAATGGCACCCTTTTTTCTCTTGGATATTTTTTCTTTCAAATATTTCTTGCAGTTACATAATAATGAATATGGGCCAAGGTGAAGTCTGTCAGGTTTGCTACGGTATTCATCACCTGAGGAACTGTCCCGCTTTTCAAGTGATGACGGTGGAGCAAAGAGAGAGTGTGGTATTGGCTCGCAGATACTGCAAGAACTGCCTCGGACGGAACCACGTAGCGAGATTTTGTTCCTGGCCAGGGACATGTCGTATGTGTGGTTCTCGGCACAATACGATGCTGCATCGTCCTGTAGTGGCAGGTCTAATTGACAGTGGCATAGGGTTTGCCAGGTATCACCCGTATGCCAATCAAAGAGCGCAGCAAACCCAACAGCAACAACAAATTCTTGCTCAACTGCAGACACGGCACGCGCACACTGTCACTGAAACTGCACCAAAGCAAAAAAAGCGGAAGCAGCATGAGAACAAACAACAGATTGGTGTGCAGAAAACACAAACAAACAACAAACATCGGCGAGATAAAACAATCAAAAAACAGAATAAAAAACAAAATCAACATGCCGCACAACAGCCACAGCAACAGCCCGGAGAAAGAAAAAGGGAAGAAAAACCTTTACTGCAGCAACCAGAGATGATGGACAGGTTCCTGAGCGTGCTCGAAAAAATAGCAACGGCTTTAACGGTTGCACCAGTGCAAGGGGCCCGGCATGTTGGGAATAGACCCAACCCCATAGACGATGATATCGATATGGACCTTATCGATCTCGATAATTAAAACTATCGATGAGGTTACATCGTCAAGGAGTTTGGTTGGCACTCTTCTTCTTGAAGTTTAGAAAAGTGGATCGCCAGATCAAGATTGTGAATTTTTTATAAATAAAAGTTGACCGACAGAGTCATTTTAACTTTGAAATAATAATTATTAAAGTGCTTTTTCTTTTGTGCAGACAACAAACGTAAGTATCGCCAGAATACTTTTGTGTTTGTTTGTAGTTCGCTAAACAATATTGTTGTTCGTCTTTGTGCAACAATAAATTCCGGCTCAAAATCTACTCAGTAGAATTTGAACCACAACAAGTCCATACGACGGTATTGGAACTTGTACACAGTTGACATCCCTCACACTTCCTTTCAACTACTCTCTAATACATCCAACCACCTTCAAACTACTTTGCAATGTTTAGGATTGTCTTCAAACTGGTTGATAATATGCTTAATTGTCTTCAAACTTCTTTAGCATGATTCAGACTAGCTTCAAACTTTTTTACGATGTTTCAAACTGCCTATAAAGTTAATTGTCTGTCCTCAAACTTCATGGCAAGGTATGATACTTCATTCAAACTACTTGGCTATAATTCAAACTACCTTCCAACTTAGTTTAAACCCTGTTGAAATGTATTAAACTATGTTCAAACTACTTTAAAATGCATCAAACTACCTTCTAAATACTTCCCGATGCATCGAACTACCTCCAAGCGACTCCCCGTTTCATCAAATTATTTTCCAACTACTCTCGATCGTATCAGACTGTCTTCGAGGCCTACGAGGTTGCGGACTGCTATCAAACTGCTTGCTAATATACTTAACTGCCTTCAAACTCCTTTAGCATTCTTCAAACTATCTTAAAAGCAAATTAACATTCCTCAAACCACATGGCATCAAATCAAACTTCCTTCATACTACTGCGGTATGCATCAAACTACATTCCAACTAAATCCAAAGCACTTTTGACATGCATCGAACTACTTAAAAATATATCAAACTTCTGGCAAAATTACTCCCGATACATCAAACTACCTTCCAACTATTCTCTATCGTATCCAACTACCTTCAAACTACTCTATTGTGTGTCGAACTAGTTTGTTTTATCCTTTTTTTTGACATTATAGGTGAAGGGGCTAAATAGGTAGTTTTTTTTTTTTTTTTGATAGGGACGATGTTCAAAATTTCAGATTTTCTGAATTATGTTATTTTCTATTATTTTCTTAGATTTGTTTTATTTTGAATCTGTCGTTAAAATTTTTCGTTTTTTCTTTTCAGGTAAGCTTTGGAAACAAAATTGTCTAGATTTGTAAGTATGACCATAAAATATTTGGTCCTTCGAGAAGCTAACTTATTCTGAATTCCTATTGAAATCCGTAAGTCTTCTTTGTGAAACAACCTCCTCATCTCCAACTATTCACCCCATGTACACAGCCACGAAAACTGAAAGCCACGAAAACTTTTCCCAAAAGTACCACAAAAGACAATGAGAAATATAAAGTAATTTTTCATTCTGCCACAGTTTTACTCAAAAATTCCCAGTGCAGAACTTTGTGCCATCCTGCCATTCTGTATTTCGCTGAGCGATTACAACGAACATGCGAAAAGCAACCCAATTTGTCTTCCTTTACTTGACAGACAACAATTGTTTGTCGGTCGGTCGGTCGGTCGTTCGTTCGGATGCTTGGTTGCTCTTCTCTGCCCTCCTTTGTGAAATGGCTGCAGACAATATGGAAATGGCAAATGTTAAATATCTTTTTAACACATTAATGTTGGTGTTTTACAAATGATAAATGTCAGTTGATGGGAGGGCAGTGGAGAACACTTCTGCATTGGGAGAATGCATGTGTGTGAGGTTTGAGTAATCGATTTGGCGTTTGGGGAATTGAGAATGAAGGATTTTTTCGAGGAGAAGACATCTTCTATGAGAAGACCTCTAGGCCTTCTATGAGGAGACCTCTAGGTCGTCTATGAGAAGACATGTAGGTCTTGTATGAGAAGACCTCCAGGTCTTCTAAGAGAAGACTTCCAGGTCTGCTATGAGTAGACCTCCAGGTCTTCTATGAGAAGAGACCTCCAGATCTTCTATGAAAAAAGATCTCCGGGTCTTCTATGAGAAGAGACAACCAGGTCTCTATGAGAAGACCTCCAGGTCTTCTATGAGAAGACCTCCAGGTCTTCTATGAGAAGACCTCCAGGTCTTCTATGAGAAGACCTCCAGGTCTTCTATGGGAAGACCTCCAGGTCTACTATGAGATGACCTCCAGGTTTACTATGAGAAGACCCCAAGTTCTTCTATGAGAAGACCTCCAGGTCTTTTCTGGGAGGACCTCCAGGTCTTTTATGGGAAGACCTCCAGGTCTTCTATGGGAAGACCTCCAGGTCTTCTATGGGAAGACCTCCAGGTCTTCTATGGGAAGACCTCCAGGTCTTCTATGGGAAGACCTCCAGGTCATCTATGGGAAGACCTCCAGGTCATCTATGAGAAGGCCTCCAGGTCTTCACATAGACCTCTAGGTGTTCACATATGAGAAAACCTCTAGGTCTTCTATGCAGACCTCTAGGTCTTCTATGAGAAGACCTCCATGTCTTCTATGAGAAGACCATAAGGTCTTCTATGAGAAGACCTCTAGGCCTTCTATGAGAAGAAGACCTCTAGGTCTTCTATGAGAAGACCTCCTCCAGGTCTTTTATGAGAAGACCTCTAGGTCTTCTATGAGAAGACCTCTAGGTCTTCTATGAGAAGACCTCCGGGTCTTCTATGAGAACACATCTAGGTCTTCTATGAGAAGACCCCCAGATCTTCTACGAGAAGACCTCCAGATCTTCTACGAGTAGACCTCCAGATCTTCTACGAGAAGACCTCCAGGTCTTCTGGGAGAAGACCTCCAGGTCTTCTAGGAGAAGACCTCCAGGTCTTCTATGAGAAGACCTCCAGGTCATATATGAGAAGACCTCTAGGTCTTCTATGAGAAGACCATCAGGTCTTCTATGAGCTCCATGGCAAACTAACACCTTGCCAACAATTTTGTCAAAATTTTCAATTGCCCCGAAGCAGTAGATTGTATTTGGGGGCTCCATGCCGAATGTTTTTATCCATTTTGGAGACTAGCTTTCATTTGCATTTTGTTGGGGGAAATTTTATTGTCACCAAATGCCAAATAATCCTAGGAAAAAATGGCTCAATTTGTTTTTAGACAAAACCGAGGGACGGACACGCAACTGGAATTGATGCTGTGCTTTTTTTGCTGGTTCTGTATTTCTATTTTCTGTCCATACTTTTTTCATTACTGCCAACGTAATCTAGTTTTAGTGAAAAAAAAAAACATAACAAAAATGGAGTAGTATCATCATCACTACCCGAATAGAAATAAAAAAACGCAAACGGAATTTTTATTCATTTCTTTTTTCTGTCAGCTAAGCTTTATTCTCAAGCCATTAAACTGAATTTTTCGGTAGATTGGTGAAATAAAATTTAATGGAATTTCCTTTTTTATTTTTAAAGTGCGCATAAAATTTAACATATGTTTGGGGTAATTTATTGCAATGCTTAATTTAAGTTTAATTATGAAATGGAAATTGAAAAGAAAATAAGACATTGGTGGATACATTTTTTGTGTGGCAAGGATAATATGAAGCTGAAGGAAATATTCTTGTCAAGGGAACCTGTGCTTCCGGTGAGAGAAAAAAGAAAGAAAAACGGGGAGAGAAAATACTCTGGAGATGAGCCTGGATCCTGGGATAATAATCTCCTCCAAGTCTTCTATGAGACGACCTCCAGTTATCCAGGTCTTCTATTGGGCCTCCTCCAGGTCTTCTATGAGAAGACCTCCAGATCTTCTATGAGAAGACCTCCTGAGGTCTTCTATGGGAAGACCTGCTCCAGGTCTTCTATGAGAAGACCTCCATGTCTTCTCATGAACATTCCATTCCATGAGAAGACCTCCAGGTCTACTACGAGGAGACCTCCAGTTGTTCTACGAGAAGACCTCCAGGATTTCTATGAGAAGACCTCCAGATCTTCTATGAGAAGACCTCCTCCAGCTCTTCTACGAAAAGACCTCTTCCAGGTCTTCTATGAGAAGACCTCTTCCAGCTCTTCTACGAGAAGACCTCTTCCACTTTTGCTTTGAGAAGACCTCCTTCAAGTCTTCTATGAGAATACCTCCTCCAGGTCTTCTGTGAGAAGACCTCCAAGTTTTTTATGAGAAGACCTCCTAAGACCTTCGCTAAAACTCCAGGCCTTCTATGATAAGAACTCCTCCAGGTGTTCTATAAGAAGACCTCCTCCAGGTCTTCTATGAGAAGACCTCCACCAGCTCATCTATGAGAAGAACTCGTATAGGTCTTCTATGAGAAGACCTCTTCCAGGTCTTCGATGAGAAGACTCCCAGGTCTTCTATGAGAAGACCTCCAGCCCTTCTATGAAAAGATCTCCTCCAGGACTTCTATGAGAAAACCTCCTCCAGGTCTTCTATAAAAAGAACTCAATTTCTTCTACGAGAAAACCTCCAGGTCTTCTACGAGGAGACCTCCAGGTCTTCTACGAGAAGACACCCAGGTCTTCTATGAGAAGATCTCCATGAGAAGACCTCCAGTTCTTCTATGAGAAGACTTCCATAGAAGACCTGGAGGAGGTCTTCTCATCGAAGACTTCCAGATCCATTCCAGGCCGAGTTTCATTGCGTAAATTTAAAATTCATATTTATTTAACTTTTCTGTTGTACCACTCCATATCAATTGCTGTTATTGTCGTCATCGTCTCATTGAGGAAGTCCCGCTGAGTGGACACTTGATATTCGTTTTTTGAAAAAAAAGGAAACCTTTTTGATTTATTGACAAAACGCCGCTTGACTTCAAATTTTCTGTCGGTCGGTCTTTTTTGTCATTTACACACCAACCAACCAGCCAGCCATTGACGATGAGATGTTGCAAATCTAGATGACAGACAAACAAGAGCAGAGCGACGAAGGAGGAAGGAAACCACCATACCACAACAATATTGCATTCGGAGGAATAGGAAAAAAATGGTATTTT